ATTAAGCAATATTGGGCTCTCTGGGAAGGCCTATCAGGCCTTGGGGGAGGATGCTGAGGGCAAGGCCAACATGCTCTCCTTGTGGACAGAAGACAAGACCTGCAAAAAGTGGTCTGTGTGGCTCAGCAAGAGCAAGGAGAAGACGGAGGAGGAGAAGGCCTCTGGACTCAAGGGCTACTGCTCCAGAGATTTGTTTTGATTAGCTCTCATTTTTTCTATTTATGTTTTGAGTAATTGTGATTTTTTGAGAGGAGCACGTTTGCTCCTTGGTTTGGAGTACTTGTGATTTTTTTGTTAGGAGCACGTTTGCTCCTTCGGGTCTACTTTTTGTGATAAAAGCACATAAGGATTCGAGATTGCGAAGCAGGAGAATCTCGACGTGGATCATCCTATCATGAAAGCCCTTCTCCTGCAGCTCCAGTCAGATGATGATTGGGATGAATCCGATGCCCGCGAAAAGGTCTTCAAAGACGTGGGTGAGAGGAGGTTTTACTACCAGAAGGGTGAGTTGCTCCTGGTCGGCGACTCTGTCCGAAAAGACCAAGGGTGAGGCTAGCTGAGAGGCTAAGCCTGGGAAGATTCCGTTGCTGGACGTTCGTGCCGAGGACGCCAGCGGCAGCGTGCAGCCAGTGAAAAAGGAGCCAGGCTGGGAGGCCTTTGAGCGCACCTGCTACGACTTCGACGAGCAGAGGAAGTCTGCGCAAAAGAAAGAGCAGCCTGCCCGTGACCTGTTGGCCAAGCTGCAAGTGCGTGCTAAGAAGGACCCGACCTTGCAGAGCACTCTCCAGGAGTTCACCTCCTTCCTTGCCAAGTTTTCGGAGAAGCTAAGCGAAGCCCGGACTCTGAGCGTGGAAGCAGGCCAGCTTGTGGGCAGCAACACCCTGGACGAGGACTGTGGGAAGCGCTGTGAGCAGGGCCGCACGGAGTTGCGGGCTGACGAGGTCAACGTAGTTAAGTACCTCAAAAAAGTAAAATCCTTGCTGGATTGAATGAATATTTGTATACCGGAAGCGGCAATAGCCTGCTTGTGCCTCCAAGTTTCTTGGCTCAGCTGGTAAGGGCTGAAGTAGCAAAAGTTACTTTGCTCAGCTGGTAAGGGCTGAGGTTTTGGAAGGTCACCCTGCCTTGCGGCGCTCACTTCCTGACAAAAGTGCTATAGGCCGGCAGCCCTAAGTTTTTCTTTGTTTGCAGGGCTTGAGTGCACCCCCTGTCCGCCAGGTGTTCGCGCAGATCGAGTTGTGGAAGGCTGGGGCTGCATGTTTGCGTTTTCCCTACGTGGTTTCTTCGCCAGGTAGAGAGCGCAGATCTATCTTGCAATAATACAGGCGCGCAAAGTGTCTCCTGCCTTCCCCTCTCAGAGAAGTGGAACTTTGCTCATCAGGAGTTCTTCGCACGGTTCGCTGCGTTGCCGCCTTGTTTATCAAGGAGATTATAGAATCTCCTGTGTTCTTCACGCGCAGGCAGCATGCCTTGCATAGCGAACCTGACTATGCAGCCTCTGGTGCCAAGGAGGTTAATCCTCCACTAGCTAGCAGCCATGCAGAAGCCATGGACGTGCGTGCTGAGGTTTCTCCTTTTGCTGTTTGCGCAATGCTGCAAAAGCATGCACCAGACCGGCGCATCCTCCGGGAACTTCCCGCGAGTTCTGCCCCGGAAAAGATTTCAGGCAGATGCCTCCGACCTCTTCCTTTCGAACACCATCAGTGCCAAAAGATTCGCCAGGTTGCTGGCCAATGCCAAAGCCTCAGGTGCGTCCGTGGACCGCACCTTCAAAGAAGATTCGCGCAACGTGGCTCGTGATGTGCGCAGGAAGATGCGCAAGAACAAGCCGTGGCCCAGGGTTTACTTGGCCAGCGTGCCGTGCCTGAACTGTAAAACCGGCCAGATAGAGACCATGAAGGTGCCGATGTGGTTACCGCGCGAGCTGGTCCACATGCTGTCAGAGACAACGGATCCTGCTCGCTTGCTCTTGCGGGAACGGTGCAGCCCACAGATCCTTGAGCACCTCACCGTGATCGAGAAGAACATGTCCTTTCAGGCAGGCTCCGTGATACCACTATCCCTCTGGATGGATGGTGTCCCCTTTAATAATAATAGGAGCAAAAGCATTGAGCTGTGCTCCTTGGCCTTGATTGGACAAGGCTCAGATGTGCGGCTGCCCATCTTCATGATCCCAAAGGACTTTATAGCTTCAGGCATCACGATCAAAGCCTTGTTCGAAATTGTTCGATGGTCCTTTGAGCAGCTGATGTGCTGCAAGATGCCATCAACCAGACATGACGGATCTCCGTTCCTGAGCAGTGACTGTCGTCGAGCTCGGCTTGCAGGCTCGGATATTCCACCCGCTGCACTATGTCAGGTACGTGGAGATTGGATGTGCTACAAGCAACACTTCGACTTGGCCGGTTGCTTGGCTGCATTTTTTAAAGTAGTTTTGATTAGATATCATTTTTCCTTGATTTTTTAATTATGTTTTCAGAAAAGGATGGCAAGAGAAGAAAGGGTGCTGTTTCCTCTGCAAGATCACACCAGACAGACTGTCGGAATGCGGCAGCCAGGCTCCGTTCAAGCGGCCTCGAGAACGCCTTAAGCACGTGGATAACATGACTAGAATCCGCGAGAATGGCAAAATGATTTCACCTTTGTTTGGAATTCCATTCATGAGTTCTTCATTAATTAGTGTGGATTGGTTGCACTGTGTTGATTTGGGTATAGCCCAGATCTTCCTCGGATCCCGCTTTGATTTGTGTTTAAGCACGCAGGAGGGTGATGAATATCGTAAGTGCAACTGGCTGTGGGGATTGATGCAAAGCCATTACAAGCGACAGCAAACAGAGTCGCGCCTGCAGCAATTACGGCCTTCGATGTTGAAGGGTAAAAACCACCCTAAGCTTCGAAGTAAGGCCGGCGAATGCCGGGGCCTCGTTCCTTTCGGTTTGGAAGTAGCAGAAGAAGTGCTCGGGGGCGGACCCGAGGAGAATGCTGCTAAGACAGCAGCACGTCTCCTGTGCGAATGCTACAACAACCTGTCCCGTGAAACGTTCGACAAGGAAAATCTGCAGAGGAATTGCGATTTATTTTCCCTGCAGTATGTCGCTCTCTCCACCTGAGCAGGGACTGAAGAGATGGCCTCTCAAACCAAAGTTTCACCTTTTTCAGGAACTCGTATTCCAAAGCTCCAGCATTCCATCAGAGACTTGGACTTATAGAGATGAAGGCTGGGGTGGAGTCATGGCAACTTGGAGTTTTAGAAGAGGAGGGCATTACTCTCCTGCAGCCATGGCCAACAGCCTCTTTGACCGTTTTGCTGCACAGGACACGCCTCGCCTGTGAAGAAAAAAAGACCTCGGATTCGATATGTCTTCTGATTGTGCATACGATTCGATTGATACATATTTTCATGTCCCAAATCCTTAAACCCTGCATGGATGTATATTTTTTTGTTTTCATGGCATGGATAAGTTTTTACATTCATGATTGTTCTCCTGGTGCTGAGGAGAATAAAGCATGATTGCCAGAGTCCGGGATTCCGGCCAAACCTTGAGTTGTCATAGTGACATGTCTTGAAACATGCCCGGTGCTAGGAGCGAACGCTCCTGTCTACATGTATAGTTTCTCGATCCTTACAAGACACGTGCTTGCTCCTATTGTTGCTGTTTGGTGGCAGGAGCAGAGACAACATGTTTTTTTCACGTACATGACATGTTATTTTCACGTACATGCATGTAATGTTGGGATTATGTAGTATACATAGGATCTAGGCCTTATAAGATTTAGGAATAGACATGCATGTGTGACAATTTTAGCTGCTGGAATGGCTCGAACGGATTTGGATCCGGAAAAAAAAATCTCATTGAAAATGTTTCTATATTCCAAGCAAAAACGCGAGTATGGGCCTTAAACAACACTGCGCGTGATAAAAAATTGACAATTATGTTGGCAGGAAATCGCGACGTCGGCTCTATCCATGTCGCTTTTAACATGGTATAACATGGTTTCGCATGAACCTACCTCATTTAACGAAAACCTTCCTTAAATAAGGTTGCCTACCTTAAATAGGGTTGGCCAACCCCTTATTTAAGGTGTTTTAAACACAACCTACCCTAAATAAGGTTTTACTACCTTAAATAGAGTGTTTTCAGCTGCGATTTAAGGTTTGTTCGCCTTATTTAGGGTGTGTTGCCTTAAATAAGGTGTTTTGGATGCTCTGGGAAGAAGCAGCACAAGTCAGCCAGAAAAGGCTGGAGCTCAGTGTCATCTAGTGGCGGAGCTTCAGCTGCAGAGAAGTGCCGAGCAATCTTGTTGCACAGGCCGTCAGTCAGTAGCCTTTGCGACCGTTCCAAGCACAAAGTAGGCCGCTGCTCCCTCACCCCCATTGGGAAAGGCAGCGCATGAGCGTGCGCGGATAAAACGTCAGGTGCAACAGCGGAGCAAGTCTTCTCTGCCGCCGAAGAAAATTTTGACGCAGCTCAGTGTTCGAAGAAGTAGCCATGGCGTTCCTTCCAACTTGGCGGAGCTTGCTGGCGGGGCTTCATCCGCAGCAAACTTAAGGGATTGCGCGGAAGGTCCACTTCAAGTGGACCCACCCGAGGAGACAACACATTCAGGAACAGGTCACAGTGCTGACCTCATGGCCTTGTGAATGAGTCTGATAGAGACTCCCCGTGTTGCAGGTGCCTCAGAACCCAGGGCTCCTGGCGCCTGTTGCTACCCTCCGCTTGCTGCGACAAGCGCGTTCAGTATAGCTGGCTTGCGTTTGGCTGGGGTCTCTGCGCCTGCTGAGTGATGGGTCTCGCTTCAGGGCCGATTTCAACATTGCCAGAAAGCTGCTTTCATGGCTGCTCAAAGCCCGCTTCCTTGATCGCCTTGGACACCTCATCAGAGATGCCGATCTCACGCGTGCGAGACTCAAACACTGCCGCACTTTCTGCAAACGCCATGATGGCACACAGACACACAAGATCGCTGAACTACGCGTTAGCCTTGAACAGCTGCGAGCTGCGATTCAACGCGTGCCTGCTGGCCATCGATTGCAAGCTACACAGGCATGCCGCAACCCTGCTCCTTTGCACAAGCCGCACCTATAACCTACGCACACAAGGACAAAATGACACACGTAGCAAACTATGCTGGTTATGACACTGCAGGTCACACACGCACAGGCTACAAACTCCTTGGGTGCGCCAGCCGCGGCACTCGACGGTGTTTGACATAGCTGGCCGACACCTTGCGGCCACACACAAAGACATCTCATTCATGTGCCGCTGTATCGCACGCTGCCACTTCCTCCGAGATTGCTGCTTTCGCTGTCTTCAAGCTTCTGCTCGCCGCCATCGGGTTTCACAAATACCCGCTGCGAGTCATATCAGGATGAAAAACACCAGCCTTGATGTCGTGCGCCACACTGGCCATCTTTCGCAAGGGACCTGACATGGCATCCCTACTAGCAAGTCAGCATGGAACGGTCACCAGCCGCAGCATGGTAAGAAGACGACGATCATCATGGGAAGCCCCATGCTTTGCCGCCCACAACAAGACGGTCACCTTGGCACTGTGTGTGCCGTCCTGGCACAAACACAGATGCTACCAACGACCGCAGCCAATGTCCTGCTTCAGCAGCCCCCATCCATGACACACTGCTCAAGAACAATATACTTGCTGGACCGTCGACGGGTCACGCTGACGCACAGCACGCTTGCGCTTAAAATGCTCTGCACTGACACCACGTACTCGCCCCGAATCCAAGACAACCTTCACACCATACAAGCCCAGCACGTGCGTCGCAAAAGACATGGAGATCAGGCGCGACCGCAGATGTGTTGGGGCAGTAGAAGGGCCCACTTCCTTGAAGTACGTGTATACCATCTCCTCCTGCAGTGGCCAAGGGTCATGACCCTCGGCAATCCAGAACTTGCTGTAGCGAAACAAAGGTCCGGCGCGAGCATGAAGAGTGGCAGTAGCTTTGCCAGCCAGCGCATCACCCAGAGACTCACACAAACCCCCACGCACACGCGTGACACGCAGCCGCAGATTAGACACTTGCTGTCTGCCAATTTCCCATGCCATCGGTTGCACCTTAACAAGGCTGCGCCGCGGTCCTGCTTTGCATCACACATTGCCCAACATGCAGCGTCTGAACCTAACTCTCGGCTCTGCTCGACAATGTGTAGCTGCAGTGGGGCGTCGTTTCGGGGTGCCAACTCCGTGTGCTGTCCGCACCATGAAGGCTGTGTTATCACGTCGTCTTGGGAAACCTACAATTCCACTCTTCAAGTCTTCAAGGTTGCAATTCCTTGCAAGCATATGTGTGTGGGCAACCCCTCATCTGCACAGTGTCCTTTACGGGCCATTTGTTCCTGCGCACGCGCGATACTGGGGTCTGTTGTGCGCTGTGGTGATGGGCGTTCGGCCCCGCACGGTAACCTTCAAGTTCTTCCCAAGCTACCTGCCGGTTTTGTGCAAGCGGATGCGATTCTCTTGAGCCTTGTTACATTGCACAGCCCATCACGCACCTTGTTTTCAACAAGCTCGGATGTCAATAGTGCCCGTGACATCATCAACAACATCCAATATGTTGCTGAGATCTGCATTGCTGGTGATGCGTGCGAGACTTGAGTTGCAGCCATACACTTATGGATGTGAGGGATTCAGGGCGTATATATATATATATACATATTCGCTTCAGCGGGCGACGATTCAGGTTAGACTACACGTGTGTGGTTCCGTGGTACTTTCATTGTTTAAAAGGGAATCGTTTTTCTTGTGCATTAACAAGACAACGAAATTTCGAATATCGTGGAATGGAAAAAAAACATTTTTCAAGCCAAGTGTTTCAAACGCATCGTTAAAAGAATCGTTTTGAACAAAACGATTCTTTTTAACAAGAATGTACAAACGTTTATACTTTTGAATTCATGATATCCTGGTTTCCTTCTGAATATTAAGGGTCCCTTCTAAATATGAGGGGAAGCTAAATTTTTTCAAGAAAACAATGTTAATTTCAACACGTACAAAACAAGCTTTGCAAAAACGGTTTTGTAGACAAAAAAACCATGCGGAAAACGTATCCTTTCTGAAAACCATGTTCACGAATATTCGAGAAGATTACCTTCTGCAGCAGAAGGAAAAACCAATGTCCAGAGTTACAAAAAAAGACATCAGAGGTGCGGCCCAAGTAAACCGTGAGAGGTTTGCCTTACTTGAAACAAAACATCAGCGGTACGCTCCATTGAGCAAAATATCAGACGCACGCCCCACTAAACAAAACATGAGAGGTACGCTACACTTGAAGCAAATTATCAAAGGTACGCCCCACTAAACACGAAATCCGAGGTACGCCCCATTAAGCTAAACATCAAAGGCATATGCAAAACTAGGCACAACTTGCTCTCCCCGAAATGGTAGTATTCTAGCATTTGGACACTTGTGCCCTTAGGATAGTGTGGTAAGTAACCACAGGAGATACATCGAATGGCAGGAACAGGCAGGCCCAGCCCAGCGGTTTCAGTGTTTTGATCGGGTGATGCCAAAGTTCATGGCCAGGGCACACTGACAATTATGCTAACCCTGAACCTTAAACTCCTGTTCCCTAAGAATGCACATATACAATTTTTTTGTGTCAAAAAACGTGATAAGCCCAGAGCCCATTCGCAATTCGAAGCTTCAAATCTATAATGCTGGTGGAACTTCGGTTTTCGGAATCCTTGCATCGCATGGGCCGGATGTAACATATACAGGCTGCCTTTCCGAGTTGTCATGTTTCTAAGATACAATTTTTCTGGAGTTCTGCAGGCAGCAAACTATTTAGTATAAACTCTCCCCAGTTACGTGGAGGTTACAGCTTTCTTGGCAGCAGATGCTTTATGATACAAAAATGTGAATAGTTTTGCAACGACTCATACAAATTTGCTACAAGATCCGTATTGAAAGTCTTAAACGGGTGCCGCGAGGCCAGGGCTCATGTAAAAATGTTCCTTGGAAGGTTTTTGGGCAGGGCACTTCTACCCGCACGGGTGTCACCGGTAGATTGGTGGCGTGACTTTCCGTGACCTTGGGGGCGAAAGACCAGTTTGGGAGAGATATAAACGTGACTTTCCGTGACTTCCTGGGT